CGACAATAAAAAAAATTGGTAATGCTGGTACTGATATTAATCAAAATATAAAGCATTTCAAGTTAAGCTGTACCTTTTTTTTAAACACTAAACTAAGATATATTTATGTGTATTTACAAAAATAAATTAATATTTTAATTTAAAAAAAAATGTTTATTTACACAATTGTATTAATGACTTACAGAGTAGTGTTCTAGTGGCACAAAAAAAAAAAAAAAATTAAGTTATTTCGGTAACTTTACTTTCAGTCTGCATATGACAGCTGGGCATAACCAACCAGAATTTTTTCATCAGGTGTTTCATCATTTTTACACCCAGATACCTAAGATTATAACAACCAAAAAAATTAATGAAAATGATAATACTTTTTAGTTTAGTTATCTACTTACAAGAGCAAAAGTAACAGGTTTGTTTTGTGTCTGATTTCCAATCAGTACGCGTAAATTCATGGCAATAACTTCAGCATCCAGTGTATCTACTAAACCTGCACCTACAAGTTCTGTAGCAATACCATCGGGTGTATCTTTTCCCAAAAGAAATTCAAATCGAATATCATTCAGTTCACGATTTGAATTTCTAGATAAAATGAATATTCAGTCATAAAGGACCATACAATAATTAATATTGTATATTAAAAAATATATTTACCTCATTCGTAACACCAAATTTAAATGCTCATCATCACTTTCTTTTTCACTGTCAGATGAGTGTGGTACTTGAACAAGTTTATTTAAAGGCTTTTCTTTNACTTTCTTTTTCACTGTCAGATGAGTGTGGTACTTGAACAAGTTTATTTAAAGGCTTTTCTTTACACTAAAATAAAAATATTGAATAGTTATTATTTTATTATTACTAAGTTTTATGGAATAATAATAAAAAACGCTTTTATTAAACCAATGCAATTAAACAAATTTTTATTTAATCAGTATATGTTTAAAACTGATAATGATAAAAGTGTTTTTAATATTTTTTAGTTTTAAATTAATATTAGCTACAATTGATCAAATTTTTTTTTATAAATACTAGACCTCATCGTCTGAAGATTGTCCACATTCTTCTTCTGAT